TTGTTGATGTCATACCGTTTCTGTCTGGACCGCACGACTTCTTATTTGTCGGCACGATTGGCTTGTGGTTCCTTGTCCAGAAACAGTAACACGTCACTACGTGGTCGGCGTTATCCCGTAAGCTAGGATCACCACACACACACTTTCCCAGTCGTGGTAGCGATCACGGGCTCCATTAGGTATCGAGGTGTAATGGGCATCTAGGACGTTTGACACCGTCCAATGAGCGTATGATCCAATTAAGTGAACACTAGCCGCCAATGGATTTGGATGTTCACATGCCATACCGCTGCCTTGTTTTTCAGTCTATGGTTAACCGAAGACTCCGGTTCTGCATTCCCTACGAAAATTCCGCTGCGTTGGACTGGGCAAGCTAGCAATATCACACTCGTTCAAATTATGGACCTTTTTATAACGAATATTGTGCAGTGATGTGTTTGGCACATAACCTGAACTCAGACATATGTGGAAATGAAATGAATGATATCTTTCGGTAATTTTCTCATTCGCATTCAACTCACAGTTACATGTGATTTGTCGTGCGGGATAATTGATGTTTATTTATAAACAGAATTTTTCATGAAGGTTAAGTCTGAAAGATGATCGGTTCAAATCAATTTCCGCATTTTTGTCACGCACACAATCATCGCAGAGCCACGCGAACAGGCTGCCTGTTGGTTTTGCCTGGGTAATCCGCAGGTGAAAAAACACTTGGTAGTCAGTGTCAACACACAAGCCTATTTGGCCTTGCCTCGGGGCCCCCTGGTCGAGGATCACATTCTGGTCCTCACCGTTGGCCATCATCGAAGTTGGACCAGTTGCCCGGACTATGTGCGCGTGGAGATTGAGGACTACAAGTCCCGTTTGAAGAAGATGTTTGCTGACCAGGGCAAGGCTATGATTGCATTCGAGCGTAACTTGAAAACCCAACATTATCAGCTTCAGGTGAGCTTTCAAATTCTTAGTGATTTGTTTTCTCTTTTGTATGACATTTCTCTTATTAGGTCAGTGTGTAGAGACTCTGTCATCCTCTCTCCGATCTGATATTTCTTGCTCATTAAACGCTAACACTGAAGTAACGGATGACGATCGCCTGTTAGATAGATCCACTCCAAAACTTGCACGGTGAAACTCAAAAGATCCTTCATTTATTCGTTCTTCCTGTTCTGTTTCTCCCATTTTCTTTTCAGCAATGTGTACCCCTAACTGCACTTTATCATTGCTGTTTCGTTAGCACCATGCTCATCCTCCAACCGATGTGAGGTATAAATATATAGGTAGAACTCATCTCGATTATGCCTATAGAGATACACACACAACCCAAACGGGCCAAAATGAAAATAACCCTTTGGATTGGAACCCTTTCACCGCCACCCACCTTTACCAGTAGGCAGTTTTACTGTCATCGGGCTTGTTGTCACGTGTATCGTATTTGGGCCTCATGTAGATCGCTACTCCGTGTCCTAGGGCTTACACTGCCCGTACCTATAGGTGAACTGTGGAGTTTGCCTTCCTAATGTTTGACTTCCCACTCCGCAATCAGAAGCGTTCCGTCCAGACTATCTCTACCATGGCCAGTGGCCAAGCGACTAACCAATGAGAGCGTGGCAACTGGAAGGACGTCGTAACCAAGGTTAAGGTCAATGAAATTGTTAACACACCTAGCATCGCTTTGTACACAGGGTACTAAGATCCACCGTACACAGGATCAAACAATATTAAATGCACTACCTAAATAAATGTAAATGGTCATTTGATGAATTTATCGAAAACAGCTTGTTTCGCCTATCGGATTTTATTTTCTAATGTTTCTCTTGCAATGTGTTTCATAAAAATCAGTTATTTGAATTCTATTTCATTACGCAAACTGATAGCTCATCGGTTTATCATTCCAATGAACTCCTCCCTGCGAATTATAAGTACACACGCAAGCGCATGAGCACGAACTGTGATTGCTCAGGTCTTAAAAAACTGATTTTGATGATCGTATCTTCTCCCAACACACTTTTCATCCACCGTTGACTTCCATTCTCTATCATAACTATACTATTTTCATTCAGTGGTGAGTAGAGCCTATCTCCAGACGTTTATCTTCTATCGCATCTGACTTTGTTGTTGTTGCCTTTCGACTTGTCTGTCTCACAGGTCATTCCTGTCCCATACTCCGTAGCTGCTGAAGTGAAACATGTCTTTTTGGATTTGTCGGTCAGTTCGGAAAAGAGTCCATGCAGTCTACGGCCCATTCCGCGGAACACAGAACTCAGTGAGGTAAGTGCTTGGAGTTTCGTACACTTTGTCCTTTTTCATTTATCCTCCATATTCACACGGGAATGCACAAAGCGCTGCCTCTCTCTGGGGTGAATGCTACGTTTTGAGCTAGTTTTATGGTCCAACGGCACTCTCTGAGATGATGTAACCAGTTGAATTTTATCGACACTGGCACACAAGGACTTGTCGGCTGTGTCTATTGACACACTGTTGCTTTAATTTGATTGACTTGGTTCGCTAGCAGTTTGGATTTGTCAAGCGAAATCAGCATGTGACTGGTCGCTGGAAAACAGCAACAGTGGCTTGCAGCTTCATTATTCCTGTTGATAAAGACGTTTAATGTGTGTGTGGCTTTCCCCCATATCCTCTACAACTTGAATTCGCATATGCAGCACAAATTTAAAGCCGTCTATCGACCGCGAGTGCTAGAAGTAACGATTTGTTATATGTTTAAGCTTTTCATTGAACTTCGTTCCGGTTCATGGCACATACACACATGCATATACAAACGCGCTAACGTGGTAGCTGATTTTCCTAGAGTTTTCTTCTGCTCCGTGGCCCTTGTAACCGAAAAGCCTGTGTCAACGTGGATGGTTCCGTACCCGTAACCGTTCTGCTACAAAAGCACTCGATCCGACCGAGTAAATGTACAACCCGGTTGCCGTAACATGTCTCTCTACAAATCAGTAAACCACTTGGTACCAATATTAAAGTCATAAGAGTAGACTGGACAACTATAGCTGAAAGCAGAGAAACGATTGCCGAAGACAATAACGACAGGAAAAACACCAACGGCTCACAGTATATGTTTTGTTTGTATCCAATTCATTTTCTGATCTTGACCATTCTGCATATTGCTGGTGTGTGTGAACCAAAATGCAGATCGTTCTTACTTGTCACTCTCCACACCTATCTCTTTTCGCAGATCTGTCATCCGGGTGTTCCCTACTTCTATGTTGAATTGCCTACCGGAGAACGACTTTTCGGCGCCATCAAAAAGGACCGAATTAATTCATGTGATATTCAGTTTGGTCGGTATGTGTAGTTTGAATATCTCCGTTTCTGCTCCTGGTTGAGTATTAGAAAAACTGTTCTTTGTGCTCTTCATTTTCAACCCATTTTTCGAAACTAAGTTACATTTCGTGTGCGTAGCTCCACGTACAGAATCAGTTTAATTCCATACCTTACTTGGCTATTGGTTAATCGTAAAACAGTTGTCACCCGCCTTAGAGAATGCCACGTACATTAATATTTTTCCTCTCATCTACTGCAGTATAGAATTTGATATCTACTTTTTTTGTTTATCGCTATTTGTCTTATATATCTACTGCACAAGTTTGTAAAATGCTGAAAGTTTACCCTTTGGGTACATAAAGCGTTTCCTGATTTCGCGTTCGCTTTTTGGTTAATAGTGGTCACATCCCAGACTTTCAATCCCATTCTGTGTGTTTGACCCCGTTGACGCTTAAAAAAGTTATTTCAGGTACTATCAGGATTTGAATATCTTACGCGAATGTAAATTCAGTCTGATACAGTCCGGGAACTCGCATGATTTTAAACTTATCCTTATCCTTCTGGTTATCGGTAAGACTAGTCGTTGTTCCTTCTGGTTTCCTGTTCTACCCCGCGGCAGTGATTGTTTGGGTTTCATCTGCAAACATGTGTACTTAAGTTGGACCTCACGAAGAAAACAGAAATGCTTATCGGTCAACACAAGTTTGTACTTAGTCTTGGCGATTTGTTTCCATTAACCTGAACTCTGTAAACAATGACGGTGATATACCAGCAGATAGGTACCCCCGCCCCTACATGAATCCCCAATACTACTATTCTGTAATCAAGTGGGTAATCATCACGTGATTGTTTGCTTTTAGGAAAAATCTCTTACCCCCCTAGTTGTCGTCTTTTAGGTTGAGAGATCGCTAGAAAAGATGCTTCAATCTATGCTCATCTTTGACTTCCGCTAAACATAACCTTTACTGAACGACAAATAATAGGTTATCTCTGAAACTTTTCATCCCAACGACTGTGTGGATTAAAATTTACGGGTGTCTCATAGTAACAGATCTCTCGTTTGCTGACCCTCACTACTTCGTGCACGACTGGCAAACTATTTTTATAACAGATAACAGTAAATCAGAGTGAAACAAAGTTCACAAACGCATTGAATGTCATTTTGAACTGTCTTATTTGTTTCACTGTTCACATTTCCATGTACGCAGTTGACCTTCGAGTGCTATTAAACTACGCGGACGATGTTTTCCTTTTTCCATCTGTTTTTGATTCCTCTGATTAAGAGGAAATCCATTCCAACTTATCTCAAATCGGGCATTTCGCAAATACTTCTGGTACAAAATGAAATCCTTGTAACTGCTTTTAAACGTATTTCTCAGCCTTTCTCACTGCTCGTTTTCAGCTAATTCAGCCCCGTTGAATTCAAATTTCTATGCAAAATTTGCTCTGTCAGATGCCTGAGTGTTCGGCCAGATTCGTATCTCTTGTACTGTACTGTGTTATATGATTTGAGCCTCTGTCGTCTCGTGTATGCAAACCTAGGCAGCTCCTTGAACGTGTTCTTGCTTTATTGCTGGACTGTTCGATTGCCATTTTCCGGGATTTGATTTTAAAGTCCAAAGCCACGGTTTAGCTATTGGTAATCTTGCTTCCTCTCAATCTGCTTTGCCGCTCGCTCTCCAGACTCGATTTTTAAAGTAAACACGGTTTTTGTTTAACCTTGGTCCATACCAATCTTTACGCTTCTATTAACTGTTTATCTATCGGATTGTCGCTCTCGCTCATTCACCCACTCGAAAAATTGTGTCGGCACCTTTCCACCGGAATAAACTAACCCCATGTAGCCTACTTGGCTCGAGTTCTGAGGATCTCAGACAAACTCAAAACGACACTACTTACAAAATGCGAACATCAGCTTGAATTCTTGTCTTTTCGCTTGCTTCCTTCGAAGTTTGATGGTAGCTGACTCTGTATTTTAACAAATCTGACCTTATTGTGATTAAATCTCTAGAAAAGGTCCATTACATAAATACAAGCAAGGTACAAATTGCGGATAAAAGTGTTGATAGACAACAGGTACAGCAGTTATTTGGGCAAAGCATTCGTTGTACAATGATGTTCCGTTACTAGTTACTTTGTTCATCCAGACAAAAAACTCATTTTATAGCTGTTTTTGGTATATTCCGATGATAAGAATTGTTGCTATACCTTGCTTTGCGGTGTTATGCGCTGTCCGTGTAGGCTTATATCTATCAAGGATCACGTGATACAACTATTTATTCCGTTACACTAGCATGATGAGGTGTTGTGTTTTTAATACGGTTAAACATAACCCTTAAACTACTTTGCTTAACCGATTGTTGCATTATTTTGAGGCTGTTCCCGTTCTTCGCGTTTTAACTCTGTCATCTTCCTCTTCATTCCATCAGGTACGTCCTCAGTGACCCAAGGATCCTTAACTGTCCTGATAAAGCTGACTGGCGCAACTGCACAGATGAGTTGGAAATGGAAACCAAACTGACCGCCATGATGCGCGATAAATTCGCTCCGTATGACATTGATTGACTACGTACCATTTTGATGGCAAGGTGTATCCTCACGTTGTATATAGTTCGAAACTTTCCACGAGTTGAATTGTCCTCCCTTGAGCTGTACGTTCGCATTATGTAACCTCACATCTCTTCCTTTCTGTACAAATCGACTGCCGATACCTCCTGTTCCACTGTAAACTTTTTTCTAGCTAGTCCATTGGTTTTAAGTTAATAGTTCTAATTGCGTCCACAAATATTCTTCTACATCGTACAGCTCCACAACCTGTAATCGGATCCCGATTTTATTTCGCTGTTTTCCCCACTTGAGCTGCAATGATCCGTGTATGTAAAATTCTATTTCAAGACGTCTTCAAAGTTTCAGTTTTTACAACCATTAACCATGCACTTTCGTGCGCCTGTTTTGGTTGCCCATTTGGATAAAAGAGCGAAGTGAAGATAAGAATGTCGAAGCAAATTCAAGCGGGAGATGGGGAATACATATAGAGTGGTGTTAGGAAAATAACGACTGGATGCACGATCGCCATTGTTTGAAACACCCAACCATATCACTCAGTGTCTCTAGCCATCGGGTACGATCATCCCGAGGTCCCCAACCTTACGGAGCCTACGTGACCTAGTCTCCTGGTTAGGGTTTTCATACCCTCATGCCAGGTCTTGGCTTGACCACCCTTTGTTTTTTTCAATCANACTAACAGCCTTGGCAAACATCGTTCGCCGTGGCAATCTATCTGGTGACATGCGTAGCACATGTCCCAAACAACGTAATCTGTGGGGGTCAACCACTTGCTCCAGTGGACGACCGCGACTGCTTAAAACTCTACGCCTAACCTCAGCATTGCTAGTCCGGTTACCCCACCAGACACGTGCAATGCTACGTAGACAGCGCTGTTCAAAACACCGACGATCTGTTTTTATCCTGTTCGTTTAGTGGCGAAGTCTCTGCACCGTAGAGCAGAACTGCTGCAGCATACACTCAACCCTTCTTAAACAGCCGGATGTCGCGACGGCGCCACAAATGTCTCAAGTTGGCAAATGCCAATCGAGCCTTTTGTATGCGCGCCGACACTTCATCTGTGATGCGTCCGCCGGGTGAGATATAGCTGTCTAGATAGCAAAATTTGTCTACTTCCCCAGTTAGGGTGAGACTGTGCGCTGGATCAACCCAATCTTGGAGCAACATTTTACACTTTGAAGGTGCAAAACGCATACCGAACATGGTAACACTAGCACTCAAACTATCCAGAAAAGCCTGCAGCTTACCTGGAACTTCACTTAGTAGCACAATGTCGTCTGCTTACTCTAGATCAGACAGTCTGTCACCTGGGAGTAAATCGATACTGCTATCCCTGCACGAGGATAGGGCTGTTTCAAGAATTAAATCTATGACGAAGTTAAATGGAAAAGGAGAGAGAGGACAAGCCTGTCAAACACCACTTTCCGTGGTGAACTCGGGTGAAAAAGTGCCGTAAACTCGCGCTCGGCTCTGGCTATTATTGTAGTGAGATTGTAAAACTGAAATAAACTTCTCGGGCACACCATATGGAACAAGGCCGGTCAACTGAGTCGAAAGTCGCCCTTAGATCGAGTAAGATAGACATGGTGAGTCTACGAAAAGAGTGTCTGTTCCAGAATTTGCCTAGAGTGAAGATGTGGTC